GTTCATCGCTTGCCAGCCACCTGATGAGATCCAGAATTTGCACGTCAGTCTGACCACTGGCATGAAGACTGACCAAAATGACGAACGATGCTGAGCTGGGGATGGTGCAGTGGTACAGCAAGAAGTGCTTGGTGTGCGGCTTGACAATGTTGCGCAAGGTATTTTCCTTGGCTGTGCCCTTCAGATTTTTTTTTGTTTGTGCCTTCGACAAAACAGCAGTGGAGTTGTTGTTAAAGAGTTGGGAGTCGGGCAGTTTGATTGTTGCCGGCAGAGAGTATGTATTTGCGTCGCGACTGTTTGTGTATGGACGCCAATCTTGACAGACCGGGGCACTGAGCTTTGTTCATCGCTTGCCAGCCACCTGATGAGATCCAGAATTTGCACGTCAGTCTGACCACTGGCATGAAGACTGACCAAAATGACGAACGATGCTGAGCTGGGATGGTACAGAGTGTTTAGAGTGTTTGGTGTGTGAGGGTTTGACAATGTCAGCCACCTGATGAGATCCAGAATTTGCACGTCAGTCTGACCACTGGCATGAAGATTGACCAACATGACGAACGATTGCTGAGCTAGGGCTGGTAAAGAAGGACTTGTTTGGTACATGTTTGACTGTTTTGACATGGCTTTTTGCTTGGTTTCGTTTGGTTGGAATGATTGCTGCTGTCCGAGAGAACGTGTGCCAGTTGCGACTTGCTGTGTATGGAGGCCAATCTTGGTCAGACTGCGCACTGTACTTGTTCATCGCTTGCCAGCCACCTGATGAGATCCAGAATTTGCACGTCAGTCTGACCACTGGCATGAAGACTGACCAAAATGACGAACGATGCTGAGCTGGGGATGGTGCAGTGGTACAGCAAGGAGTGCTTGGTGTGTGGCTTGACAATGTTGCGCAAGGTGTTTTCCTTGGCTGTGCCCTTCTGATTTGTCTTTTCTATCGTACCTTCGACTGGACAGAACTGGAGTTGTTGGTGAGTTGGGAGTCGGTGAGCTTGATTGTTGCCGGCAGAGAGTATGTGTCCCCGTCGCGACGCCAATCTTGGCACTGAGCTCATCGCTTGCCAGCCACCTGATGAGATCCAGAATTTGCACGTCAGTCTGACCACTGGCATGAAGACTGACCAAAATGACGAACGATGCTGAGCTGGGATGGTACAGAGAGTTTGGAGTGTGCGATTTTGACAATGTTAGCCACCTGATGAGATCCAGAATTTGCACGTCAGTCTGACCGCTGGCATGAAGACTGACCAAAATGACGAACGATGCTGAGCTGGGGATGGTGCAGTGGTACAGCAAGGAGTGCTTGGTGTGTGGCTTGAGAATGTTACGCAAGGTGTTGTCCTTGGTTTTGCCATTCTGATTTGTCTTTGCTTTCGTGCTTTCGACAGGACAAAAGTGGAGTTTTTTTTTTGAGTAGGGAGTCGGGTAGCTTGATTGTAACCAGCAGAGAGTATGTGTCCCCGTCGGACGCCAACCTTGACAGAGTGTGCCGTTTCTTTGTTCATCGCCTTCCAGCCACTTGATGAGATCCAGAATTTGCACGTCAGTCTGACCACTGGCATGAAGACTGACCAAAATGACGAACGATGCTGAGCTGGGGATGGTGCAGTGGTACAGCAAGGAGTGCTTGGTGTGTGGCTTGACAATGTTACCCAAGGTGTGTTCCTTGGCTGTGCCCTTCTGTTCTGTCTTTGCTATCGGACCTTCGACAGGACAGAAGTGGAGTTGTTGGTGAGTTGGGAGTCGGTGAGCTTGATCGTTGCAGACAGAAAATGCATTCTTGGGATTCGTTATGATTCTTTATGATTCTTTACCGCTTGCCAGCCACCTGATGAGATCCAAAATTTGCACTTCAGTCTGACCACCATGAAGATTGACCAACATGACGAACGATTGCTGAGCTAGGGCTGGTAAGGCAGGACTTGTTTGGTACATATTTGACAATTTTGAGACAGTTTTTCGCTTGGTTTCGTCGTGCTAGTTGGGATTTGCAGTTGTGCCTGCGACTCGACAGAAGTAGAGTTGTTGGCAGAGTGAGGAATGGGGAGCTTTATCGTTGCCGGCGCAGAGGATGTATTAATCCTGTCATTCATTGTTGTGCGTGAACGCCACATCTTTTGCTTGGGCACTAGGCCTTGTGCATTGCTTGCCACCATTCCGATGTAATTTGCATGTCAGTCTGACTCCTGGCATGAAGTTTGGCCAATAAATGACGGACGATGCCTGAGCTGGGGATGGTACAGTGGCACAGGCAGGAGTGCTTATGTGGGCACGCTACCGTGCCTTCGACTCAACAGAAGTTGAGTTGTTGTTATAGAGTTGGGAGTCTGGGAGCTTGATTGTTGCCGGCAGAGAGTATATGTGTCTTCTTGACAGACCGTGCACTTGGCTTTGTTCATCGCTTGCCAGCCACCTGATGAGATCCAGAATTTGCACGTCAGTCTGACCACTGGCATGAAGACTGACCAAAATGACGAACGATGCTGAGCTGGGATGGTACAGAGAGTTTGGGAGTGTGCGATTTTGACAATGTTAGCCACCTGATGAGATTCAGAATTTGCACGTCAGTCTGACCACTGGCATGAAGATTGACCAACATGACGAACGATTGCTGAGCTAGGGCTGATATGGAAGGACTTGCTTGGTATATGTTCTGACAGTTTTGACGAGGCTTTTCGCTTGGTTGTGTCGTGGTGTTTGGGATTTGGAGTTGCGCCTTCGACTTGACAGAAGTTGAGTTGTTGGCAGAGTGAGGAGAGGATGTATTAATCTTGTCATTCATTGTTGTGCGTGAACGCCATGTAATCTGAAGTTTGGCCAATAAATGACGGACGATGCCTGAGCTGGGGATGGTACAGTGGCACAGGCAGGAGTGCTTATGTGGGCACGCTACCGTGCCTTCGACTCAACAGAAGTTGAGTTGTTGTTATAGAGTTGGGAGTCGGGGAGCTTGATTGTTGCCGGCAGAGAGTATGTGTCTTCTTGACAGACCGTGCACTTGGCTTTGTTCATCGCTTGCCAGCCACCTGATGAGATCCAGAATTTGCACGTCAGTCTGACCACTGGCATGAAGACTGACCAAAATGACGAACGATGCTGAGCTGGGATGGTACAGAGAGTTTGGAGTGTGCGATTTTGACAATGTTAGCCACCTGATGAGATCCAGAATTTGCACGTCAGTCTGATCACTGGCATGAAGATTGACCAACATGACGAACGATTGCTGAGCTTGGGCTGATATGGAAGGACTTGCTTGGTATATGTTCTGACAGTTTTGACGAGGCTTTTCGCTTGGTTGTGTCGTGGTGTTTGGGATTTGGAGTTGCGCCTTCGACTTGACAGAAGTTGAGGTTGTTGGCAGAGTGAGGAATGGGGAGCTTTATCGTTGTCAGCGCAGAGGATGTATTAATCCTGTCATTCATTGTTGTGCGTGAACGCCACATCTTTTATTTGGGCACTATGCCTTGTGCATTGCTTGCCACCCATCCGATGAGATCCATAATTTGCACATCAGTCTGACGACTGGCATGAAGTTTGGCCAATGTGTCGCGCCGCAATACCGGGTGTTTCCAACTCAATCATCGAATCTAGGTGAGTTTGGTAAGGATCTTCCGAGATTGGAGGTTCTCCTTAGGGCACCTCCTTGAAATTTAAGGGTTTTCCTTGGTTCAAGCCCTGAAAGAACTAAAAAACCTACGGGTTTCTCTGAAATTTCTTTTTATAACCCTTACAAGGAGATCGACGCCGCCAGAGGCGCCGCAGAGCGTGGCCTTTGTGAGCGCCAAAGACTCCAGCCAGGCCTTTCCAGGGGATAGAGGGTGCGCTTTTTTGCCTCACCCCCCCCCACAAAAAAAACAGCAAAAACCAAAAACAAAAACAACACACGACTGAAAAGCTGGGAAGTTGCCTCATGTTGGGGCCAAAACTCCCAGACTTGTTTCTCGGCGGCACTTTGAGGGTGGTATTGTCTCGAGACCAGCAGATTGAAGTTACCCTTTGTGACGCTCCTAATGGAGCCCAATGATGCGTAGGGCGGGTGTGACCCGTGGAGGGGGCATTGTTGGCTGAATGTTGGCAGTTTTGCCATAGTGGGCTTGAAATGTAGCGTGGGGCTGATTCGGTCAGGATTGTAGGGTTGTTGCCAGCTTGCAACGCAAAGCGATCAACACGTAGCTACGCAAGAGCCCAACAAACAAGGGCCTAAACCAGCCTGTTCCAGGTAGGGCTCACTCTGGGACTATATGCATCATTGTGTCATGGTCATCAACCAGCCCAAAGCTGGTTTAGGTGCTGCTGGACATGTGTCACTCCTCTCCCACCCAACCCGGCAACCAACATTCCAACCCAAGAAACCGACCCAAGCAACCGAGCGGATGCTTTTCGAGCCACTCAACCAAAGCAACAAAATCGCCTCGACTTCGCGAAGCCGCTGGTTTTGCAGGCAGCCAGCGCTTGCTTCATCCAGGTGCGGGTGAAGCGACGGGGTTGCTTGCAGCGCTGTGCTTGACCAGCCTCCATGTTGCCATGGGACCCGGAGGGTCCCTTTCAAAGGACAACCGTCTTCCATAGTTTTTCAGTCAGGTTTCATAACTTTGACAGGGGGGTACTTCCAATACAGGAAGTCTTGCCCAAACGTTTTCCCGGATAAGACAAGAGCGGCTAGAAATGTGTGTGTGTGTGTGTGTTTCGATACATGGGGGTTAATCAATATTCCTGGCCCCAAATCACCATGGGGAACTTTTGCCATTTAGTGGGACATACCTTGTTGGTGGTTTACCCCAATGGTCCATCTCATGTAAAGGACCTTTTGATCTAGCCCCATATGTAGCCTCGGTTTGCCTTAGGCTTCCCTGTGCCAAATCCGAACCCGCGAGGCGAATCCCTTCGGCCGGTCACAAAACCAGCATTGTGTAAAATGAGGGGAAGCCGGATGAATGATAATATAGCTGATGTCCGGTCTGTGTATTAGAGTCATTTAAAGCCCAATCAGGCTGGTAGGCATGTCTTCTCCTTTGTCTGTGATAAAAAAGGCTGCCTTTCCATACCGCTTGCCGCTCGAAACCGGCGCCCCGCTCGCGCCTCGCGCCTGGCGCCAGCACATCCGGCAGACGTTGCAGAAAGCCCAGGAGATCACTCAGGTGATCTCTGAGGTGAGCCGAAAAAAAGTCGCGCCCGTCGACTCGGATCGATATCAAAGCGAAAGAGACGTGTTGGGGTGGTTTGAAGTCCTTTGGTTTAGAGGAATTATGGAATAGGCTTGGCCAACACTCGATGTTGAACAGCCCAGATGGTGGTCGCAAACGGTGTATGAGTCTGAACGCGGGAGAAATCCGCAGGATTTTGACCACTTCGGATGAATTTGCAGTTCACAGTACCAGACAAAGTAGTCATAAGCCTGCACCCAACCACTTCTTGTTGGACACTAATTATTTGAGATTTTGGACATGGGAAAAAGCAGTTGTTGGGGGGTGCTAGAGGATGGCCCGCTTTGGTATGACGGAAAGGGTTATTTTAGACCTGTGCGAGACTCTCTCGTGCACTCCAACATGAAAGGGCCTGGTTTTGAATCCAGGCCTTTAACGTCCGAGCCGCAAGCGGTACCCTCGAAGTAAGACACACCTCGGGTTACCACTTTCTCTGAGAGAATCCACTTTCAAGGTCGAGGAAGCCACCCAATTGGGCATCACAGAAAATGGCACCCAAGAAAACCACCCTCTCGAAGCCACAAGGAGAATGGCTGCTTACCTCAAAGGGCTTTCCTGTCTCACGGCATGGAAAACCACAAAGCTGGCCCGGCCGTTTTGCTTCAAGGCTGAGAGCATTGCTGACGACGCCACCAAGTTCTGCGAGGCCATCCAGGCGTGGCCATAGGACACTTCCGGCATTGAAACCGCGCGGTCAAAGTCGCCAAAGTCGGAGGGATGGGAAGTGTGTCCTCCGTGTGGTGTTAGATATCACCTGTTGCCAACTTAAAACGGATGCCTTTCTTTTGGTGTGACGGGCGTATCGCCTATTGCGAATGCGTTCTTTTCATCAGGAACTGGTTGTAGTATTACTGACCAATAGCAACCACAGTGTTTCCCAAAGACGGCCACTCAGACAGAGAAATTGCTTAGCCATCTTAGCCAGAAGATAAACGAGGCCATCGCTGAATATACACTCTTCTCTCCTTAAAAGGTGATGGTGATGGCCTTGTTTATCTTGGTGAGTATTCTGGTGATTATACGCTTGCTTCGTATTCTGGTGATCGAGGCGCAGCACAACGTGCAGTCGAAGAAGCTTGCCCTTACTGGCAAGGCCCGGGTGTGTCGCGTGAGCTCCGTTTGGTTTGAGCGTGCTCGGATCGCCCAAGGCCCGCACCGGCGTTTTTTGTGTGGTTTGATGTGCCAATGTGCTCATGGGTGTGAATTTCAATGGGGGACCCTTGAAGATTCTTTGGACATCATGGTTGGGACTCATGTCCACCACCTTGGGGGAGGTTGCAACTCTTTAAAAAAGTAGCCGCATCGCTTGGTGTTAAAAGCGCAGCTTTCGATGGGGCCATTGACATCGGCGATGTTTTCGGTTGGTTTGTTTCAATGGGAGTCTAAACGGGAGACCGCGATGTTGCGGTCCCCCTTGAACACACAACCAAGTGTGCCTTTTTTGATGGTCCCCTGGGATTGGTTAGGGAAACCAAGAGGAGACCCTCGCCATCTTTAGGTTCGGATCCCTTTGAGTCGCCCGGATTCCTTCTCCCAGGCCGCACCGGTCCCACCGCTGGCGGACTCCCTGACTCGGGAAATCCAAGCTTCGGTGGTCTGCGGCTCGGAGCGTTTCGAGTCCAGATGCCAAAGTGTACATCATCGGGCATGAATCAGGGCCGACCGAATTCTGATGTCCACCAGTTTGGATGTCTCCTACTAAAATTTGTTTGACACTCACACCCAAGTGGTTGGCATTGCAAGGAGTTCTCAACGATAGCAGCTTGTTGGGAAATGGGGGGAGTGCCTTTAACAGGTGTTGAGGATGTCCCTTGAATGGACCCAGTGTTAAGCGGTGTTGAGGGACAATCTTCCTGGGAGATTTGTGCTGTTAGAATTTTTCTTTGGCCTGGAGAAAATCCTCCTTGAGGGTCACGCGATCTCCTAACAAGGGGGAAGACAGTAACCACCCGATGCGAACAGCCGAGGTCTGGACACAGTCGCTCCTGCAGATGCCCGCCTTGCCACGCTTTCGGCTTCCGGGGGGGGGGCTGTTCATTCTGAACCCAGAAAACCATCACCTTTTGTGCATGTTCAAAGTGAGTTTCTTTGTGATTGCAGGATGGCTAAAGGGGAAGTATGGGTATGCATCAAAATTGGACGCCCCCCCTCGAAACAAATAGATAATAATAATAATAACAATAATAATCAACTATAGTATATGAGTAAACATACATGAATAAATTGCACATACAATGACAATACTTTCCCCAGCCCAAATTCGGTACTCTCAAAGAACACCCTCAGATTGCCAGCTCTTTTGACCTGTGAAAGGTGCCGCCCAGGTTGCAAACCATAATAATTTTTCTCAGCAAAATTGCCTGCTTGGAGGGTCCGGGTACCCTAGAGTCGCTAGAGTTGATCCAGGTGCAACATTGCGGAAAGCTCGGCAACGATTGCCGCTCTGCAAGCAAGAAGTGCTCCAGTCGGACGTTCTTCTGCGGGTATTGGGGTAGATCACGACAGGAGTGGGTTTGTCTCAAATGGTCCCCCAAAATGCTTGTTGCCTTTGGGATGTTTGTTTAAAACTATCCCCTCCAAACGGCATCAACATTCGGCAACTTGCATGCCTGGAGCTTTCAATCGCCTTCAAAATGGAATTGCAGCGATTTCGCCCTGGAGATCTCTATATATTAGTTCATTCTTCCTGCAGTTGGAAGACATATAAAAGGCCTGATGTATGTATTGTGGTTGGAAGACGGGGAAGGCGTGTGCAAATGAACAACTCGGGACCCCCTGTTCCCCGCGCCCAGGAGAAAGGCTCGCAGCTCAAGTTCACGCAGTCCGGGCCATCAGTGCAATGAGGAGGTCCGGGGAGCTGTCAGAGACTGCCGGTCGGTGGGTGGCTTCTTAAACGACAGGGTCTCGGCATATCCCAGGATTTTGTCCATCCGTATGGTTCCGTAGCCTTTGGACGGATTTATGAGGTATGTCATATAATACTGCAGGTTGGTGACTTTGAGCAAGGGAGCGATGAAGAATAGTTTGGGTTAACGGGAAAAGGAAAAGCTCCGGGGTTCCACGTCTTGGTTTCGCCATGGACTTGAGCCGGGGTTCCCTTTTAGGCAACCGCCTCCTGGGTTTATTTGTACCCGGGGGTCACACCCAAACCAAGCAAGCCTGAATGATCTTTGTAGGGGTGGGATTCCAAAACGGCAAAGGAGTCGCTTGGTGGCTTCCCTTTTGGGATGGCCAACCCTTCATTTCAAACGGCCCACGAAAGGAAGGCAGTGGCGGTACAAGCGGTAGATGCACTCTTTAAGAAGAGCCCGCGTGCAAGGGGTCTGGCACATAGAAAATTGTTTGCTGTTTGGTGGCCGGTGCGACCTTTTTGAAGTTTATGCCTTTTGCGCAACATGTTCTGTGACCTTTGACGTTTGACCTTCTGGGAGAAATTTGCCTTTTGTTGCTTTCCCCACACACGCAGCAAAACGTGCGCCTTTCTTTTGCAAGGGGGCAGCTGGGCCAACCCAACAACACGCACTCACAAAGGATTTCATTTTCCACCTGATTTGTGATGCATGGGGGTCTTTTTCATGTTGGCGTGTGAAGTTACTTCACTCACATGGCCAGTGCGTCCAGTTACTGCGGGTAACTAGATACGGGTGTGTCTGTTTTTAGGGGGCCCCAAGCTGTTTGCCTTTGGGTTTTCCTTCAAACCCACAAAAAACGGGGTACCAAGGCCAAGAAACGGGCACATCGGGATGCATACTCTTACATGATGGTTCCCCGTGAGCGCCAGGCGGTCTCAGCGACGAGGAACACGATTTGGTTTCACCCGGGCAGCAGAAGCCCTGCGCCCTCACGGTCTGGCGAGAAAAGGAGGGTGGCGCTGTTGCCGGTGGGATTTCCTCAATGAACGTTGGCGCTCCCCCATAGTTTCTTTGACTCCAGCCAGCCCCCCCTTTCTTTCCCTCCCTCCCTGAAGTTGTTGACACTCCCCTAATCCCCAAAACCGCCCACAGCTCCTCGCGGTGCCGGGAGCTGCAAACGGGAAATCAGACGGGCCCAGAAACTGAGAAGCAGCCCAGAAGAGGTCGGCAAGCTTTGCGCTTGTGGTAGCCCAGCTGGGCTGCCATCCTCTTTTGTTTGCGGGGGGGACAGAGGGATGGCGACACTGAGAGAGAGGGAGAGACAGGGAGAAAACAAAAAGAACAAATGGAAAGGAAATGAAGGAAAAGAAGGAAGGAAAGGGGGGGAGGGATGGAAGGAAGAAAGAAAGGAGGGCAGAAAGAAAGACTTTAAGAGACAGAAACAAAGCCTGAATCCTTTCCATTCTTTGCATCCCCGCTTCCTTTTGGTGCCGTGTTCTTTTGGCTCGAGTTTCGAGCTTTGAGCTTCGAGCTTCACTTTGCAGTCAACTTCGAGCGCTCGCAGCCTGTCGGCAGGGCCTTGCTTTTGGCGTCCCGTTAAAAAATGAATGGGGGTCCCTCAAAAAGTGCACACCCACCCACCCGCCCGCCCGCCCGCCCACCCACCCACCCACCCACATCTCAAGAGGCAAAACGCAACCCATCCGTGATTCGGTAGTCGGGAGCTAATTAGGTATGTTTTTATGAGTTTCGAATTGTCAACGGACCTGTGAAATTGCTGGACAGAGTTTGCATGGTAGTTATGTCCAACATGTTTGGAGGGGGTCCTATTGAATGTCTCATGGCCAAGTAGATGTTGCTGGGTAGACCCCTTTCCTTTGATACAAAGTTTGATCATGACTCTGCACGAATGATTTCGGCGTGCCTCAGGCAGGCACTGCCCATCCCACGCTTAGCAGGATGAAGGGTTTGCGGCGATTCAATTTATGGTCCTAAGAGGGCTTGAGGTTCCAGCCACCGCCCTAAGGTGAAATGGGGCGGTTTCTGAGAATATGTTGCTTCTGCCAAGGTACACGATGTTCCGCTGGAGCCTCGGACGATGCGACTCAGGATGGCAAATCTGCTGTCTCACACCAAATGAGCTTGGGTTTTCTTCTGGTGTCCCTTTTGGAACTTGAGCCAAACAGAAGACACCCCGCCTCAACAGGCACTTCTTAAATCTCAGATGCCTGCAAAAAGTACATACCACAAATCGCTGCACAGAGTCGTAGAAGTCATCATGGGTGTGTTTGTGTAAGGGTACCCAGGTTGTTCCCCACGTTAAAGAGGAGGTCCTCTTGAGATAAACCCAAAACAGACAATCCGTCGTCGTAGTGATAGTGGAACCGTTCTGACACCTGCCGTTACCAAAAGGGGGGCCGACACACGAGTCCGAGTCTGTCTTTCCAATCCTAGGCCTTCTTTTCGCACTTGCCTTGGGCGCCTCTGCAAACCTGGAGGAGACGTTGGGCTTGTGACAAAAACTGCGCATGGAGCCACTTGCTGAAAGACGGGTGGATGAAGCGGGCAATGGTTGATCCGCCTGATAGCGACGCCTTGAGTACCAGATAGCACGTGATAGCACCAGGTTTGATTATCCCATTTGTTGGTGTTGAACCGTGTTGGAGGATTGATTGGCAGCAATCCAAGCTTGATGGGCAAGCACCTCACTAGGCGGTCTTGGAGCAAGACTCCGAATGCGTCGGTGAGACCTGCGCGGGGGGCCCTGGGGCCCTGGTTAGCTGACTCCGCTTTCGATGGACGGGGACTCGGGCTGGCCAGATCTCTTTGTAAAACCGATACCCGCAAAACACACACACACACACCGATCCCAGTGGTGGCCGATTTTTCTTTCCAGAGGTTGTGCTATTTTCGGGGTGTACCCCACAAAGGAGGGGTGTACCTCCGGGGGGGGTGGGGGACTTTAGGACGTCAATCTACTCGACTGATTTCTCGTGGAGCCACATGATCAGGGCAAGCTCCGTTTTAGGGTTCCATGTGAATCTCGAGGGGAGTAGCTGCGCGTAGCAACCACATTTGCAAATCATTCCAAGGCACCAAGCATCGTGCGCATTTAGACCTGCACCAAATCTTCCTCAGAGACCTCGCAGAAAAGAACTTCGTGTGCGAAAATTAGGAGAGACAGAAGGCTAAGTCATTTGGGTGTGCATTATGTTGATGGCACCGGGCTCAGAAAAGTTCCAGCCCTTTTCAAGAAGCTTTTCTTTGGCAGCTTTTGTATGGGCTCCCAATCCCCCACGCGGTCGGCACGAGCCCAGCACGAACGTGCTTCCCTTACATTTCATTCTGCCGATTGGGCGCGAGCCGGCCGCCGTTTTCCCGGATCCACGACATCCTCAAACAAATTGACTCTACATTGCTTGAAAGGGACGCCACCTCACGAGTAACTTTCAGAACCCCTCCGAGAACATTCCTTCCATGTACTAGGGTACTGGCAGCTCTTTCATGCGCTCAGGCATCCAACTGTGACTTCCGCGGCCTTTCGGCAGAGGTTGTCTTCAACAATCTGTTTGTCCTGGAACAGGGAAACTAAAGGGACTACTGTAGAATGTGGGAAACCTACTGTGGGAAACCTACTACCCACTACTGTGGGAAACCCCCAAACGCGGCAGTTTGCCTATGGTTCCCCTGTAAGCCAATGCTGCCGTGAATGCTAGGTGCCAATCCAGGCGAAGCTCACTCGAGAATATCTCTGGCCCGTTCATGCAAGATGAAGCACATGTGCGACTGGCAACAGTGACAGATGCCAACCCCAAGAAGGGCACCGGCTCGGGTTCCCTCCGCGCCTTGTGAGGCGCTGAATGCGGTCCAGCTCCGCGGCGACAAGGCGGAGGCGGCGGAGGCCGGGTGAAGACGTACCGGGGATGGACGCGATCCTGGAATGAAACCCCAAACGGAACCATTGGATTCCCCAACGTAAAAGTGATTTCTTCATGGGTTTCTTAGGTGGTGCAGGACTATCCTGTAATGAACCCCCGGCAAATACCAACAAGGAATGGGTGGATTCCCCAAGGTAAATACTCACAAACAGTGGCTTCAACCACAGGTTTCTTCGGTGGCGCAGGATTATCCTGTAATGAATCTCTGGAAAATACCAACAAACAGCGGTTTCCCGTGGCTGGAATGGTTGGATTTCCACACGTAAATACCAACAAACAGTGGTTTCTTCATAGGTTTCTTGGGTGTGAACCAGATTTCGTCCATCCAGAGTAGGGAGGGGCACCCGAGAAAGAGGAAGGCCCCGGAAATGGTTTCATTGCCCCTGGCAATATTTTCGTGTGAAGAGTTCCATGTTGGTCAGAACTCAGGTTTCATGCCATGGCACACAACCTTCCGTCTCATCCACACCTTGTCAAGGCCAAGTTGGGCTTGGTGAAAAATTGCGGAAACTTGTCCCATAGGAGTGGTGTATAGACCCCGCAAACCACCCCAAGCCACCCCCACTTCCCAAAATCCTTGAATCTTTTCCCTCAGGCCAAGCTGGGAGGCCCTTATTTGTTGCTCACGTGTTCCCAAACCTGTGGCTGCCGCCAGAAGAAGGGATCCAGGGGCTGAGTTGCCTCAACCCAGCCACTGAGTTGTGTGTTGCTCAAAAGGCCCACACTTGGAGTTGCCCTCAGATGTTCAAGAACAGTCGATACTCTGCGTGTTTTCGAAAGCATTTCAGACACGCCAAGAAGATTCTTCTTTGCCAACCAATCATAGAAGGGGACAAGAGGCCTTCTCAGAGGGATAGTAGTGTTCCAAAACATCCCTGCCCCATTCCAGGATTGCTGGAAAGGCGGTACATACCTGGTGTTGGGAGTTGCTCCTTCTGATCTCTCAATCCTTGCCACTAGCCGAGAAAAAGCGCGGGAGCTCGATATGCTAACCCCACCCAGCCAGCTCAAGCCCTAAACAATTCCTCCAACCCTGAATCCACTAAACTAACCCCTACCGCTAATTCAATCCTAAACTACGCCCTTATCAACCCAAACTCCTCCTAAACAGGCTCGTCAGCTTTACTCATTTTTGCCCGTATTTGTTGCTGTTCTATGCTTTCTTGGTTGGATGCAGGATTTCTGGGTGAGTTCAGGGTTGTTAAAATGCGGCGTTCAGGATTGGTTTGGGCCGGGGGGGAGGCCCTCCATCCGCGAAGCAAGGAAGGAACTGTTTTTTTGTTTTTTTTCTCGGGGAGCTACCAAGTGGTTGGACCTAACTTTGCATCCAAATGATGTCCGCCAGATCCCGGGTCAACTAGAAATCATCGCTCCTCATAACATGGAGACGGCCAGGGGACGCAGAGTGAGGATGAAGAAGCCGGGCGTGGGCGCCGAGCGTTCTGAGCGAACGGAGTCCAGCAACATGGGACATCCATTAAAGGGGGGGATTTCTGAGCCGAACCACCATAGGTGTCCTTGTAGGTTGTTTTGGTAGAAATATCGATGGCGATTCCTGGTTTACTTGGTGGTTTAATCATCTACCAGGTTACCAGGGCCATCTATTTCCTCTAAAAGGACACCTATGCGAACCACTCCATGTGTAATATGTACCCGCGGAAAAGTCCGGCACATGGGTCAAGTGTTGGTACTCCAATGGATTGTGTGGGGTAAGGTTTCGGTTTTTCAAGAACGACGCATGGACTTTGGTTTGATCCGGGGCCGACAACGATCAGAGTTTTCCAAAATACGTCACGCCCCGACTGAAAAGGGTACTCTGAGAAAGTCCCACCCCTCGGACATCCGCGGACCGATGCGAAGTCATGCAGATTTTGGCAGAGTTTTCTGGCCGTAGCTGAGGGCCACCACCGCCCCTTCAATCTGTTCCGGGTGTTTTGGGGAGGCACCCTGAGCAAGACGTTGAGTTCTCATGCTGACTTGGGCTTCACATGAGTTCCACGTGTTTCATGCACTTACTGCATTCCTGGTGTAGCACCAGCTTGGCAGCTCGATCGATCGTTAGGCCGGTCCATTGCATTTGCAGAGACAGCGAGCAGAAGCTACCTGGATGCACTGGCAAGCGTCGTTGGGTACCAGCTTAGATGGAATCCCTCACTTTTGCTTTCATTTGCTTGAGTCTGTTTTCAGTTTCCCTTACTCCCGCGCTGTGTATGGAGGGGGGCTTTTCCCTGAAGGGGCGGCTTCTCCCGCAGACATTTGCCGGGAATACGGGCACAACGCGCCATGTTTTCCCAAAAGCCGTTCACTTGCCGAATGGCAGCCAGGAGAGGCTTTCCCTTCCCTTTTTTTCCGAGAGGTTTTCCCTTATCAAACGCTATGGCCATGTTTCCTGTTTTTGGAGATTATTCTCTGACACCCCTAAAAAGGGTCGCCAATTCTGTTTGTTGGTCTTTTTCGTGGAATTTCTATGGGTCCTCCAGGTACTACTGCGCTCAGTCCTTCGCGGGTTACACCAAGTGCTATGCCCCTTGCCCCGACGCTTGTAGGCAAACAGGCGCGTTCGAACCGGGTTTGGGCCGGGTTCGGCTGGGTTCGGCTGTGATTTGTTTGCCTATTTGCGAGCGCAGACTTTTGTTTAGAAGGGCTGGTGCTGAACCGAAAGCAGATGGGCATGAATTTCGATGAATTAGGGACCCGAAAAATGGCGGACATCACAATTCGGGGAAGCATGTCCACCAACCACCTGGGAGGTGGTTCCCTGTTAGAAATAATATGGCAGTGTTTTTCTTGAGGGGTCTGGAGCTGAGTCGCGGCGGACATTGGTTACATACCCTGTTGCATATCCTATGTGGCAAGACTTGCTGGCTCGTTGCATACCTTCGTTACGTTTGTCTCTGTTGCATACCTCTTAGCAACACCGCCAGGCTGGCTGGTTGCATGTCCCTCGTTGCATACCCTGATGCATACCCAGACTCTGAGTGACTTTTCCTGGGTGCCTGCAGAGCAGACTTCTGCAGAGCATGCTTTCGTGGACATACCAGTGAAGAGTCGACTTGCAGGCAGAGAGCTTTCCATTTAGAAGAGAAGTTGGAACAGGTGGCAGGGAGGGGGCCAGAAGAAGTAATCCTCCTTCCTCTTTGCATACCTCGTTACATTCTCTTTGCATACCCAAACCCAGCGCGGGGCCAGTTCTGCGCTACGTTGCGCACTAGCACTTATCAAGCGCAGCCTCAAACAGCCATAGCCATATATCCAAATGAGACGCCTTGGTAAAGAACGTTTCGGCTCATTCAGTCGACTTCCCGTTTAGAGACCATTACGTGGGCCGATCGGGTCTAAACGCCAACCAGGTTTGGGCTTTCTGCCAGGCGGTACGGAGTTCATGTGCGGCGGCAAGCATGAGAACGTGTGGCTGGACCGCTACTTCAAGGGTGAGGACTCGAAGTCCAACCCTGCGCTTACCTATTTGAGTGTTTTGTGGCTATGGTCTTTTCGGGCCCTGCCACAGAACCAACATGGATCCTAGTACGGCAGCCTGATCATGACCCTTTTGCTAGTTTTGACAATATAGCCGTGGTGCTCTTTTGGATCACGAGTCGCTCATTTGCCATTTGCCCGATTCAGGAGGAGGCAAGTATGAAGTGCAAGCTGGACACCAAGTGAGCTTTTCCGGCGCCAGACTGCCAGGCTGCCAGGTCCGAATCTTCATCAAATGTGGAGCTCTGCGGGTCATTTCAAGGGCGGCTTCAAAACCTTTAGAGGATGACCTGGGACACCCGGAGCCCTAAAGGTGGGCGGTCCCAAGTCACTGCACTGGCCGTGCCGCTGGACAATTGCGAAAAAAAAAGAAAAAGAGCTGCGCTTTAAGGTGTGGTGCAAAATGGGTGGATTCTTTGGCTAGAGTTTCGTTTGTGTTTTGTGGACATCAGAACTACGGATTTGTGGAGTCCTTGATGCGATATGGACCCGATATGCAGAGGTACATGGGGTTGATGCAAGAGGCTCGGAAGGCGTTGGGGCCCCAGAGCTGACCCTTCACGTGAAGGATTCATTGCCGATTTGTTGCTGATTGAGAGAGGTCCCACCCTGGATCCTCCCTCTGGTTTGGCTTGGCTTCCTTTTGTCATCCACAGCGAAATGCTTAGAGCAGTTGGAGGCCCCTAACGGGTTGGCAGCAAGTTGGAGTACTGGTGTCAGACTTTGACAGCGCACTGTGCCAGCGCTAGGCGAACATGTTCTTTGCGGTCGCTTGGACCTCGTTTAGTTTCTGCAGCACCGTGAAGTCTAAAGGGTCAGCCACTGTAGGCTTCAGCGCCCATGAACATCATGCTTGACACAGCTCGGAGGCTGAAACTCCTTCGTCAAATGAAGGTTGCTCCGTCCAGCTGGGAGCCGAACTCGGAGCTGGGCCTTGTTACACAAGTTTGCTTGTCGGAGCCCGTCGGCTATTGCTGGACCTCGTCGGAGCTGGACCGTGTTATAGATGGAGCCCGTCGGAGCTACCAGGCGTGTGAGCACATGGCACCCCCCATTTAAGCCAGGGGAGTTGAAGCGAGTGGGGCGCGACGAGCCGGCGGGAATTCTTGGAGAGTCCGGGAAAGGCGCCGAAAGCGAAGTGCTCCCCGCACCAAAATGGGAATCACCCATGCTGAGCATTGTTTTGTGGGATTGGCCTGAAGTTGACATTGCAAGAACTCGGGGGTTCCAGCAGACCTCGCATCCCTTCCAAGAGTTGCGGCTTTCAGTTGAAGTGGTGGCACTTGGAGGGGTTCTTAAAAATGGTTGCATGTCCCGGATTCCCTAACCGCCTTAGCTCAGTCAATTTGGGTGACTTGACGCAAGTGGCCGATTTCAAGCTTCTGGGTGTGGTGTCCCTAAATTAACAGTATTATGAGGAACCCCCCCGGTGGGTGGGGGGGGGGGGGGTGGGTGGGTGGGCCGGTGGGCGGGTGGGCGGGTGGGCGGGTGGGCGTGGGTGGGTGGGTGGACCCAAGCGGTTTGCTCGACCGCAGCTTTCGCTTCGGGCTTCGCGTCCTCACGGCTTCCCTGCCATGGACGAGGAAATGCCAGATGGCGCCATGGGGGACATGGGCATGGACGACTTCGACGATCCTCGGAAGCAATACGCGGGACCGGAAGTGGTGGACATCAGCATGCGGGGATTCATGCCTACCCACCACTGGAGCAGCGATCAAAGCTCCTTAGTCTTGGGACGCCAAAAACATGGGAAACCAGGAGCTACCAGCAGGCAGCATGTAACATGATTTTGTCTGAATCATGGCTTTCCACTTCTGGGATGGGCGGTTTCCTTGGAAGCAAAACACGTGCACGGAAGCAAAACTCATGCCGCGGAAGCTTGCGGAAGCTGCGCGGCTCCCCGTCCCAAATTATGTCGTGTTGTCAGTTTTGTACTTGTATTTGGTTTGCGGTTCACTTGTGGTTGGTAATTAGTTCCTCATGAAAGCTCGTGCCCATATGTTTAGTTCAATGAGCAAGTGAATACACCGGAGCATGCATGGACTGCGTGCAGCAAAGAAGGCAACCTGTATGTCTTTCTTCTAGTTGGTGAGCTCAGCAATCCAGGCCCCCGTTGGTTTTTTTTCATTTGAAACGGGGCGGCCCCACATTGTGGGCGCCCCGAATTCGGCCCCATGCGGCAACGGCGGCCACTTGCCGAGGACATGGATGAGCGCTGGCCTTAAGGTTGCTTCCTTTAGCCAATGCTCGGGGGCGTCTCTTGAAAGGCGACAAAAATCAGGGTGCCCTATAAGCCCCCATTAGCAGAGAGGACCTGGGGGCGCGTGTCTCTTTTTTTTGTGGAAACCGAAAGATATCCCCATGGACATCTTGATTTGATTTGGGTGTGTCACAATTCGGGGGTGCTTTTTGGTATCCCCTTAAGGCGGAAGCCTTTTTTTCTGAGCCCAGGCCAGAACTTCAATTCGGGTTGGTCGGTCGGTCGCTCGGTTGGTTTGACTCTGATTTTGCTGTTGCGACTTCGGGGTTGATGAATTGCTGCGGGTTTTAGGCTGGCTTCGATCCCTCATGGCCGATCTTGGGTTGCCTGGGGGTTCAGTTCGGCAATTGGGTGCTATATTCCCGACAAGATTTGGATGACCTGACAAGGAAACAGTAAGTCCCGACAGGAATATGCAATTCCGAGACAAATGCCAGTGCTCGTACGACTCCTGGGGTCATGCATCCTGGTGTTGACGCTTGATTGCCGCCGTGGCTGTTAAAGCTGTCCCTGGCGTTTTTTCAGCCTGGTGTAGTGGTGTAGTGCTGTTCCGGGTGCTTGGTGTAGTGCTGTTCCGGGTGCATGGTGTGGTGCTGTTCCGAACGCGTGGTGTAGTGCTGTTCCGGGTGCCTGGGGTAGTGCTGTTCCGGGTGCATAATGTAGTACTGTTCCGAATGCTTGGTGTAGTGCTGTTCCGGCTGCTTGGGGTAGTGATGTTCCGCCTGGTGTAGTGCTGTTCCGGTTCTTGGTGTAGTGCTGACAATTGTATATTGCTTAGCATTTCAGTCGGAGGGGCGTATTTCTTGTCCCGAGACTTGCCAAGTTGTTGTCGGGGTGTGACCAGGTTTGCTGTCGGGGTCGCAGACTGCACTTCTTGTTCGGTCAGCAAAGGGCTGATATCCATGCTTCTGTTGGGTGGGTTTCGGGTTGGCTTTGGGTGGATTTGGGCTGGCTTGGAGCTGATTTGTGCTGGGTTTGAAGCTGGTTTAGCAGCGGCTTTTGGGTTGCTTTAGGGCGTCGTTAAGTGAGTGTTGGGCTGATTGCGATTGGTTTTGGAGCGTTGGCCTAGGTTGTCCCATTATTGTTCAACCAGCTGGTGCAGATTCCCGATTCATTAAACCCATGTTCCTGCCAGAAAGGCGCTCTGGAGTTCAGAAAGGCCACTGTTGGTGTATTTGCTGAGCTGGTCAAAGAGCCGAGAGGAATGCATCCGGCTTTTCTGTCGATCTGATTTCCCATACCCAAAATTGTCGCCCTGATCACCTGCAGGACTCTAGGAAGTGAGCGGTCGTGATATGGGTGTGGTTCCTTTTGAGGATGGGGTCCTAAAAACTGACACACCCAGTCTTCAATGTCAACCAATGTCAGCTTCGGTGTCCTTTCCTTCCCCCCACTTTCCGAGGGACTCTGATGGGAGACTATGAGAAACAAGTCACGCTCCTCAACACTTTCAGGACATTTGGGTATGTGTTGTTTGAGCTGCTACTCTTTTGGGCTGGTTGCTTGAGAGGCCAACCAAAATACCGGGCGCCATTTTGGGACACATCCTCAAGTGAGGGAGCACCAGTCCTCGTTTAGAACCTAGAACCCTTGCGAGCAGAGTACAAGCTTTTTGTTTGGGCGGGGGGAAAGGGTACCTGGTACCTGGACCCTGACACTACCCTTTCAAATGGTTGAATTTACGCCAACATGTTGGGTTGCATCGCCGATTCCATTCGTTCTTTCTGGGTCTCCGGCCGGGTCGTGGTGGCATCGGTGGTGATTTCACAAAAGCCCACCGGACATCTACAGAAGCTTCTCAGCAGAAACCAGCGTCTTGAGTTGATTTTGAGTTACTTCCTGTAGAACTTCCCAAATTTGATGGCTTGCAAAGATTCGGCTCATCTGCTTTCTTGGGGGCCTATGCTCCGATGGCATAGGGAGCTGCCGGAGGGCATTAGCAAGCAGATCATCACAGCGGCGCCGGAGCGCGGACTCCGAGCGCTGACCGCCTTTTTTAAAGCTGGCTGGCCGTGCAGGCGAACCGGCCCCCCCCCCCCCCCGAAAAGTGGCGATCGTTTCACTGGACACCACCAGTAAGTTGAACTTTGAAAAAAGGAAAACCAGAAAAGCAAGCAGTGAAGTGCGAGTCATGAGGAATACATAAAGCCCCAAATGCAGGAGTTTCCCCCAGTTGAACTTCACACCCGAATCAGGGAGTCCGCAATTGCTAATTTGGGGATTTGGATTTTAACCCCCCCGTCCTGATGGGAAACCAGCTCCAAACCCGTAACAGATACGTTGGAGCCATCTTACATAAGGATAGTTGAGGGTCCGGGTACACTTGGGCCTTCCCTTCCAAGCATAATTGTTTGCTTCGATATTGCGTTTGTCGTTCCAGAACGTGCAAAAGTGTTTAAACATGCGCCTATTGCTTACCTGTTTAAGTTGTTGCATTCCGGTATTCATTGCAGCTTACTTTGGACTGGCAAACACTTGACGTACGCGCGGGGGGGGGTCTAAGCCGGGCCCAATTTTAGCCACATTGTTTGAGCAAAAGCCTTGGGGTGTCCTTTAGCAATATCCTCGTCTCCATTTCAAGGGGGCTTAACGTATCAGAATTGTTTGAAAGTCCGGGCATCGAAGCTTCGCCTCCCGGATCTTTGCCCCAGGCAGAACGCGGGCTATTGATCAGGTGCATGGGTTGGAACAATCAGTTTAGCCCAGAGCGAATTTCAAAAGGTGGGTAGATGAAGGACGGTAGGGGACAAGCCCAACATAAAGAAAGGTGCCGATGTGCGCCATGCGGGGTTCTTTAGATAATTTAGGGATGATTCAATGCCAAGCTTCGTGGGCTTTTGTCTTATGGGTTATAGGTTTTGACTGTGGGGCTTTCTCAAAATGAGATTCGGAGCGCTGCTGGTAGAGGGAAACCAAAAGGACACCAACCCTAGGGAGTTTCTTTGAGAAACCCAGATGTGAGTGCTCTCCTGGGCTCCAGTCGATTTCATTTGGACGATTGAAACACCACCTTTCCTGAGATTCCTTTGTTCTTGAGATTCTGGGAAACCCTGTCCGAGATCAAACCCAAGATGCCGACCCATTGGGTTTTTCTTGGAGCCCGGGGGACGGGAACGAGCTCCTTCTGGGATATATCCACAAGTATCGGATGGGTTTGTCTACCAAAGAAGGCCCCTTCCAAAAGAAAGGAGGTTGTCTAGATCGCCAGACTGTTTCTTCAAATCAGTTGTGCCTGTTTTAGGGCAAAGCGTCTGAAAAAAGACTTCCCTTTGAAACAACCCGATCGCTTTTCCCTGAGGTCGGAGTGGCGAACGTCACCCCGCCATGGTTGAACACGTTTCGTCCATGCGATCGCAGAGGTACCCCCCCCCCCCCCCAAATGGTGGTGTTTTGTTTGGTTTCCCTTTTAAACAAAAATGGTGCCCTCAACAAAAGACAAGGTTATTGTTATTTCGTTTACTTTTGGAGGTTTTAAAGGGCAGCTTTTGGGGTTGCTAGTAAACGACTGGGAACCCCATGTTCAAGCCCTCTGCGGCTGGCATGAGAATGGACCGGTGGACACCCCGGAACGATCAGAGTCAGATGCCACGACGTGGTGACTGGACAATCAAGGCCCCGTTGCAACGCCAGAGACATGCTCATTCTTTACGCATTCGCGCCTGGTCCTTTTCTTTCGATTCATGTCCGCGACTTTGAGGTGGTTCCCTATTCAGATCCGTAGCTAGTTATTGCCCGAGAAGTTGCCCCGGATTCAACTTGTGAGCATCGATCAGCAAATGACCACTCAAGGCTGTGCACTGGTGCAGTGCAACATGTTGTGCAGCAGAATTGTGCGCTTGCAGAAACTGCCCAACGATTCATTGCATATATATATATATATGTATTGTCTTCTCTGGGCACCGTTGTTGTGTGGCTCGGGAAACCAAAGCATGGCGGTCCAGCAGCTTCGCATGGAGTTTGTTTGGTCCCAGGATGATCACATGACTCTTGTGAATCGTCTCACAACACTGAAGCTGCGCTAGTCAGCGAGTTCGCAGTCGTTTGTCATACTTCATCAGGTGAAGATTTGTGCACAGAACTCGCCAACCGCAGCCCAGAGGCCAAGAGGGCAAATGTGAACAAAAGAAGAAGCCCGTGGGAAATCCAGGTTTACGGTAAATATATTTAGTCAGGGGTTGACATCAACTCCCCCCTCCCGGAGCAGGCTTCAATTGAGCCGAGAGCGCCTAACTTTTTTCACAGTCTCAAGGGTTGCCATTCCAGCAAAAAAAATAACGGCTAGCCGGAAGCAGCAAAGTTCTTACTACAATTTGTTTAAACACCAGGTTGGCAAGCTCACAAAGGGTAACCCCCTTCACGCTTCCCCCTACCCCCCCCCCCCCGAATGACACAAAACCCCCTCTGCTTATTCAGGCCTCTCCAGCCTGGCCCTGGAAGTAACAAATGCAATGTCCTTTTGCTTTCCTGTTGCAGTCCGGTTGGCCAGACAGGGGGAGAGGACTGGCCAGGTCCCATAAACCACGTAGAGGTTCCGGTCGACTTTGTCGACCGACGGGACGGGAGGGGGGGTTATTGATCATGTGCCTCCACGGTGCCGAGAAGGGCATGGAGCTCCCAGGGAAAGTGACCAGGTTCAAGTGGATCGAACGACCCTTGGCTTCGGTGGAAACGGTTTGTCCGATTTCCCCCAACTGGAGTTTCAACAAAAACCAGAGGTTCGCAGGCCGAAAACCGTGGTTGGAGGCGGGTACGCAACGGCATTCCTTGTTGCAGTTGGTACCCGTTGGTTCAAGAGGCTCCAAACTTGGTTGACAAGCCAACCTCCCACGATCTCCCTCGAACCTGGGTTCGAAGGTTGGGAATCGAGGTGCTGAAGCTTTGGGACATGTTAGAATTGACTGCTTTTTCCAATTCCACGGGTTCAGATTTAAGGTCCATAGTTCTCACTCATTTGTATCTTTTTGCCCAACAACCTCGCCATTTGTGGGTCCGATTTTGACATAGGGGTTCTCGCTTTCCTAACCGACCGTTTTGAGGGGCCATGCAAGAACTCCATGATCATGGTACCCTGAATTGGTTTGGATGGGTGGCTTGTCAAACCGCCGAATAGGGGAAGGTAATTAGTATACATGATGTTGAAATAAATGATTCCTATGGGCCGTCGTGCATGTGGATAAGTTAGAGAGTTCCCACGCCTTTGGTGACTTTTGCAAGTCCCTCCCAACTTCTCCCATTTTCACGAAAGAGAGTTTGGGTCTCCAGATCCATGTTTCCCGTCCCAAGCTTCAGTCTCAAACTTCTCTTTGCGTGCCTTTGTTGTTTCAACGGGAGACGTCGGGTCGACTGGAACTCAGGAACGCACGGCAACTCCTCGGGCTGGGGCTGCATCAGCAGGATGCTACACACGGGAGTGGAGGAGGGCGGAAAGCAAAATCTCCCGCCCCGGGCCCCATCGTGTTTTCCCCTCCCGCCCCGGGCCCCATCGTGTTTTCCCGCCCACGCAAAGTCTTGGATTTGCCATGTTTTTGTGTGGTTTTCGTTTGGTTTTCCAACGCCAACAAGGGTACCGAGTCTCGAAACAACACCCAGGTTGTGTTGAGGGTGTCCCTTTTTTGTAGGAAGAGCACACTGCTTGGTAGCTTTAGTCATCAGGGGTCAACATGCGCGCGCGCGGGCGGGCGGGCGGGCGGGCGTTCGGGCGTGCGTGCGGGCGTGCGGGCGTGCGTGCGTGCGTGCGTGTGTGTGTGTGTGGCTTGTTGTGTATGTGTATGTGTATATGTGTATGTATATATTTCTACATATATATATATGTTTTTTTTTTGTGTGTGTCTGTGTGTCTGTGTGTCTGTGTGTTTGTGTGTCTGTGTGTCTGTGTGTCTGTGTGCGTATGCGTGCGCCTGTGTGTGTGTATTTGATTGTGTGTATATTTGTACGTGTGTACGTGTGCATGTGTGCGTATATGATTGAATCTGTGTATATGTGCATATGTGTGCGTAATGTATGTAAGTCTGTACGCGTGTATGTGTGTACGTATGTACATGTGTATTTGTGTATGTGTGTATGTGTGTACGTGTGTGTGTGTGTGTGGGTGTGTGTGTGTGTGTGCGTGCGTGCGTGTGTGCGTGCGTGCGTGCGTGCGTGCGTGCGTGCGTGCGTGCGTGCGTGCGTGCGTGCGTGCGTGCGTGCGTGCGTGCGTGCGTGGGTGCGTGTGTGTGCGTGTGTGTGTGCGTGTGTGTGGGTGTGTGTGGGTGTGTGTGGGTGTGTGTGTGTGTGTGGGTGTGCGTGTGCGTGTGTGTGTATGTGTGCGTATGTGTTTGTGTTTGTGCGTGTGTGTGTGTGTGGGTGTGTGTGTGTGTGTGTGTGCGTGTTTGATGTGTTGGTTGGTTGGTTGCCCCCTTTTGGGGGGTTGGTTTTAACGGAGCACAGGTAAGTCAGCCAAGGCTCCAATATTTGGAGAGCCCATGCCCGGTGAATCCCAGTTACCACCGTAGGTACCCTTCGCCATGTGTGTGTTTCCGATGGTTTCAAAGTGGTGCATCTTTTTTCATCCACAGTACTACACAGGGAAACGGACATACTTGACATATGTGTAGCGGGTGTAACCCCCACCCTTGAGGAAGAATACCAGTTTTTCACCGCGGACTCCCTGCGCACGAGGTGGAAGGAGCAACTGGGGGCGGGGGGAGTGGCAACTTTGAAAGTGAAAGACGTGGTTTTCCATCTTTTTCTCCAGTGTATCGTATATCAAGAACTGGCCAGTGCCTGTTATTTGCCAGTCCTTTTAAGGGACAACAAAGGGCCCCACATTGGGACTTCTTGTTGAACTGATCGTGTTAGCATAGGGGACCGCCCAAACATGATGGCATCCGCGTCAACACCAGCCCGAAAAAACATGGTAGCCCAAAAAAGACTGGCCCATCTTGCCCAAAAGTCAGGACTGAAATTAAGTTTGCTCACAATAGCAACCCTTCGCCCGGGCCGGTTGGGTCATCTTGCAGGCAATGAATGGTCAGAAGGTTTCGGGAAGGGGCGTGGGTCTGGATTTCCAGCGCCGCGGAACTTCAACAAAGTTTTTCGCGAGTTGCGCGGGGTTTCAGGAATTGATTCGGAACTTCGACCAACGGTTCTGCGGAAGCATCCGCACAAATCGAGCTGCGGCGTTCCTCACTTTCTTTAGATTTCAAGGCCCACGCTCTCGCAGGGAGACATGCCGAAAGCCTCGGTGCCATGCGCAGCGGATCCCTTGGCGTCGCCCAGCACAGCGGCGCAGCTTGCGTCTGAGCATGGCGTGCTTGACTTAATCTTCATTTAGGTTGTTTTTCTTGTTGTTCTTTACGGCACTTCGCTTTCATTCTTTTCCTGCGTGACTTTTCGACAACTGGTGTGGGCTTTGCAGCGCGCCTTTTCTGACACATCCTGTTGTGTGACCCGCGAGAGGCGAGAAGCTGGCTATTGCCAAGCAGCGGTAACGGAAGGTTGCCAGCCAAACGGCAGCGCGAACCCTGCAAGGCTTACGTTAGAGGGCTATGTGTGCTCTTGAGCAGCTTGCCCGCCAAAGGCCCGCCGTTCTTGCGAAAACGGATCATGCTGAGAAGGCCGCGGCATGGTCCAGGCAATACTGCATCAATCTGGGAGGCAAAGCAACTTCAGTCGAGCATGGCTGCTTTTTTCTTTCCACGCAGCATCTTCTTCGTCAGACCACTCTACATCGCACGCGCGCCAGCCTTCGCCTGATAATGTGGAAGATTGCAAAGCTCTTACAGCTTTGAGTGAAGGAACTCGCAGCGCTGGCCTTTTCGAAAAGACTATTGACAGCCTCGTATCGATCGAATGCGGTTGCAGGGCTGTGGACGAAGGGGCGACAAAAGAAATTGGCCGCTTGGATAGCGCGCGCTCAGCCTGCGCCCTATTAAATACACCGGGGGGACTTATGCTACTTTTGAGTTAGTTGCGGAACGTAAATCCTCGGTCTCTCGTTCTTGATCTCGCGATCATCCCTCAATCTTCTGCGCCCCCTCCGTGTCCGACTGTCATCTTCTTCTTCTTCTTCCTCGTCCTCCTCATCCTCTTCGTCGTCGTCGTCCTCGTCCTCATCATCGGGTGGATCACCTGGAGGTCCCCCTCCACTGTAAGTTAGCTTAGGGGACGTAGGGGTCTACTTCAAAGTTCCCCGTAAGCACACCGCGCGTCCCTTGATTTTCGCTGAAAGCCACACACCCACGGGCAGCCAATGCGAAACACGTTTTGAAAAAGCATGTGTTTTTGGGCAGGTGGCCGCGTCGCATGTGGTGCACGATCATCAGGCTTTGGCTGCGAGCTAATAGCTAGGCTTAGTGAATGTTTGTTCGGCAGGAGACACGGCTAGCGAAGGATGAGGAGGCGTTGGCGCAGTTTTTGCGAGCTGTGACTGGATCACCAGTGACACGCATTCCAGGTCTCTCTGATGCGTCAACGGCGGCCTCCCAAGGTTGAGGAGACTGTCAGAGACCTCGCTTGCCAGCTGGACACCGCGAAGCTGTGAAATCAGCATGTTTTACAACTTTGCCGGAGGTTTCGGTGCACCAGGGCGGTCAGGGTCAGACAGCCGCGGCAGTCGAATGTGCCACACCGCGCGCGGCCCGTCCCGGCAGAGACCTTCTCTCTGCAGAGACGGCAGGTGTGCTCTCTCACGATCGCGGGCGCCAACATCACGCTTGCAGCGGCTGGGACTGAATCACACACGAAAAGAGTCAAAATGCGACGCGGGCGGGACGAGGTGGGAGAAAAGGGAGGCCAGAAAGAGCACGCGTGCGATGTCGGCCTCGTGTCGCCTAATGTCGGCCGTGGTTTTCGGGAGTTTACATATGTCGATGTCGGCCTACATCTTATCACATATATATATATATATCTATATCTATATCTATGTAGATACCTCCCCGGCCCCTACGTCGGCCAAATGTCAGCCCAGGTTTCTCACCCCGGCCTACCGTTTAAACAATTTTTATACGGCGCACAAGCAACCATGAAAGCCCGGAAAGGCGGTTTGGAGGGCCGCCTCCCAAAGTTCACACAGATTATTTACACACATACAAACTCTACATATATCACATCACTCCACGCAGCCAGCTTGGGAGCTGGCACAAACACAAAAAGCACGAGATGGCTGCGCTGAACAAGCCTCCGCCGACATGACCTGCTGCTATCACTCAAGCACAAATCGGCTGACATACCCAAGAAAACACATATCTTCAGCCTGACACACAGTCTGTGTTCCCCGTGTTTTTCCATAGAGGCTCCACGCGGTCACGCGTTAAAAAATACAAGCAAATTCACGGCGTTTGTAAGTTCCAAGTAAGTTCAACGTAAGTTCCCGGTAAGTGACTTGTATCTTCACCCTCTAAGCCTGCATAAGTTGCCAAAGTTCCCCCCAACTAGCTTGTATGTGAACCCTGAAAAAGGGAGAACTTATCCTACTTGTGGTGTGCTTGAGTAACTTGCATCTTAGCTTGCAAGTTACTTGATGTTAAACTCAAACCGGCCGGTCTATCTAGTAGGGCTCAACCCCTGTCGACGCGCTGCTGCTGCTTCTGCGCTGAGGTACTGCGACAAGGCACGTGGTCGCATTGCCCGCTAATGGCAGCGACCCCGCTGCAAGACAAGCTGACAAAGGGGCCGTGGGAGAGAGTGTTGGTGAGATGTCTAAGGAGCTGTTCCGATTGAAATCAGGCATGGCCAGAGACGCCTCAAAGGCTATCACCGGAGCTGCAACATGCAACGCGCACGCCCACAAGCGCGTCGCGCCTTGAAGTGGTGAAAAAGACCTGCCGAAATACACAGTCATTTCGTCAGGGAAGGCCGTGTTTTGATGGCCTTGCCATCAGGGCAAAGCCTGAAATCACGCCATAAGTGCGCAAGAACTGGGCGCCTTTCAGCTGGCGCCGGCGCAGCTTGTTCTTGGTTCTGCCTACGAGGTTCTCAGCCAGGTTGGCGCCTTGAATTACGCACGTGGCAAGCGCTTGCGTGACAAGGCGCGCACCTGTGAGCTCCCACTTGATGCGCGCCTTGGCTGCGCAGGCCAGGCGTTTACCATCCCTGGCTTCCGGGAAGCTTATAGCATGAAGTTGAACTTCTGCAATCTTCGACTAGGGAAAGACGCAGTGATCATATGTCAGCATGACTCATTCCGTCCACGACGCGGGTCTTGATTCTTTTGCAGCTTGTCGCAGGACATTTGTCTAAAAACGGCCCCGGAAGAGGAGTGATTTTGACTTCGCACTTGCGCGCGCAAAAAGGCTCAAATCAAATCGCCTGCCTTCGCTTGAGTACTTCCACATTAAACAGGCTGGAGGGTGCCTGTACAGTCCTTCTATACTGAAGGGCGATCGAGGAACAAAAGCAGGAGCTTGGATCGGACATGCAGTTTCGTTTTTTCCTTTCCATTCCTCCGTCCCCTAGTGAAAATCCCCTCTGGGAGCGTTAAAACACAAGGGTCCACCTGGGTGTTTTCTGTTGACGGATACCCTGTTTAGTGCCAAAGCCCGTTGACCCTTGCCAATTAAGGGGATCGATTTTCAGTTTCAAAGTTCCCCAACCCAAAAAGGTCCACCGTGTTGAAAAACACTCACAGACTGATAGACTGATGAGCCATGCCAGGATTGGGCTTGGGTCAAGGAGGGCGTCCTCGTGAAGTTCCGTTTCGGCGGCACCTGCGGCAAGGGCCGCGACCAGCGGGTCCAGTACCGCGCTATCCACGTGGACCGAACGCTCGAAAGTGCGCAGGGCGCAAGTCCCCCGTAGAGCTGAAATGGCCAGCGGTTACCCTGATTAGAAAAGGGCTCCCTCCCTCAAGGTCGACGATGTTTGCACGAACCCTAAAAATTGAGATTAAATGGGGTGCCCCCTGATTAATCCGGAGCCCCTTCGGTCCTTCGTCCTTTTACTTCTGGCCCCTTCCCAGCCAACTGAACTGGAAACTGCAACCTGGAGAACCTCTTCGGCTCCTCCCTTCTTGGGCGGGCCATGAGCAGCATTTTGAACCCAAAAAGCAACCTGTTCCGAGTTGGCTTCCAAGGGGAGTCTTTTTTGTGAGCTATTGAGCACCTTGTCATGTGTGTTTTAGCACAGACGAAAGCCCCATTTCTGGCCTTTGATCGGAGGGGGGTTTAATCGGAGGGGGGGGGGTGCAGAGGAATGTTTGGGCAGAGTTGTTTGGGCAAACCTTGTTGGCCCTTTACTTGAGGAGGCAAAAGGGAAACCTGTAATCGAAGGTTTGCGAATCGTCCGCTGACACTAGTCAGTTTATGGAAAAATGTGGCTTAAACGGCTACTGCGGCTACTGCCTTGAAGCAAAACAACATAAAATGACTCTTGGATGACTGAATAGCCTGCTCAACAAGCCTTTTTTCAATAAAGCAAGCTTGTTGAACACATCAACAACGTCCAAAACCTCCGTGCGCTGGTTTAGTACGAGTTGCGTCATATTAATCTGCGCGTAAGCAAGCCTCCGCGCGCTGTGTCGCTTAAGCCAAAATGTGCGGTGCGCGAGCAGGTGCAGAAACATAATAATGCTACGACATAAACATATGATGACGTGTGACAATGCTTTAAACGGCTCTTGTTTCAACAACCTTGAGGCTCAACCCGCCAGCAGCGACGGATCCAAAACCCTGCCAATCAGAGGACTCCCCACTTTAGGATCTACACGCAACTGATTCTTCTGGAGTGGTTTCATCCAAAGTGGACATTTAGCCTATGATGTTCAATGTTCCCAAGCAAAGCCAACAGATGGATTATTTCTCATTTCGTCCCAGACCCCTGCACAGCTTGGAGCGCTCGAATCCCAGGAGGCGCTGGGCGAGAACGAGACTCTCAATTCATCCCAGACCCCTGTGCTCAAGTTGCAGGAGGCGCTAGGCGAGAACGAGACGCTCACTTTGTCCCAGACTGCTACCCACTTTGGAGCGTTGGGCGAGAACAAGACCATTTGCGCCGATCAACTGTTGCAGGGCAGTACAAACTTTGGTTGCTTGGCGGTTAGCAATGCGCCTCCTTGAGTTGCTCGTTTCCCAGAACGGTTCTTTGGACTTTCAGAGTTTAGAGCTGGATTTGTGACATATATCCCACCAGTATAACAGGTATTGACGACCCAAGGCTGGTCCGTGCGTGGATCCCATCCTTTCGACTTGGGTGTGTCTAGGAACTGGACCCTCACTGTGGCTTCCCATTTCAAAAAAGGGAGCCGAGCCTCGAATCGAAGGAATACACAAAAGCCCATGGCTGAGGTTGGCGGGAGGTGAAGGCCCTGCTGCTTGGCTGACTTTTCAGAGGGAACATGAGGAGATGTCGGGGGTCCAGACATGTGTCCCGCTTTAGGTGCATCGCCTTTTCGGCCCAAAGGAAAGATTATTCCCTTAAGGTAGGCGGGATGTGTTCAGGAGTATATTGACCCATCTTGGCAACTTTTAACGAGCTCACCTGCAGGAGCTCAGCTAAGCAGTCAGGTCACCATTCAACACATTGACATATGTTGTCAACCTACTTATGAGGTGGACAACTTGTCACCAGACAACAAGAGCTGGCTACTCTCAATGGTTACAGCAAGCACACGTGTCTACTATGTATGATGTATTTGTACATGCTAGGTTCGGTTTTGTTGCTCAATCCATGTACACCTAACAAGTCAACACACATTGGGTTTGTCCAGAATCAAGCCTGGATGGTCCTTTGATGGTTGTTGCCCCCCCCCCCAGGTTACGGATTAGGATTGAGCCGCCGCTGGTTTAGTGGATGGTTCTCGCTCCAGGCGTCCAGACCACCGTGAGCAACCTCATATTCACCAACCCCACAAAGTAGCCTTAACCTTGGTAACCTGAACCTTCACCAAGTAAACCCTTCATGGCCAAGAGGAGCAGTTCCGACCGTGGTGAACGTCTCGCAAGGCTTGGCGACACCAAGCCAGAAGACCTCCTTGTCGCGCCTCTCCGGCTGCATTTCGCTGGAGGTGTGTCTCGGGAACCCTCACCTTAATATGCAGACCGCTGTGTCATGGGGTGTCAATAAATGAGGGTACCCTTTCTGGGGTGGTACTCAAAGGAAACCAACGAGGAAACCATCATTTTACGGCTCCCCTATTTTAAGACGCACCCATATGTGTTTTCGCTTTGGCTTCCATACACCGATCTAAGGGAACTCTCAAGAAGACGCACTTTGAGCTTTCCACATGGCATTTCATTCTATGGCTTGTCCGCTGTCCCTTGAATCCAGAAAGCCCAAACATGGCGAGGGCAAAGCAAGCGGGTTTTCCATAGCCTTGTATGGGAAGACGTGGCCTAGGGGTGCAAATTGGAGGGCCATGTTTTGAGAGTTTGTTATTGTTGGTAGACCTTTGTGCATGTTCGGCTCTTTGGCAAGTGTCTTTTGTGAATTTCGCTTGAGGCTTTGGCTGATCGTTTGAGGTACATTATTTACAGGGAAATGCTTCGCCTGGTGAAGAGGAGGACGAAGCAGCTTCCCGACGATGTGACGAAGGAGGCCAGAACTGGTGTGTGTGAGGGCAAACTGGCAGGCGCATCGCATGTTCTCTCTTTAATTGCAAATCATCCTCGGTGCTGAAATGGGTGCGTGACACAGCGCAGTTGATAATACTTTGACTCGCCATGCTACAAGCGCGGTTGATCAAAGGAGCCTTGGAAACAAGGGGACCAGTTAAGCTTTGCCACCCAACTTCTTCGCATGCATGCGACATGGCCGAAAATGCCTTCTTACGGCAAGTCGAAGCCTGGTACGCCGATTTCCTTGGGCCTGCGACGGCAAGGTTGGTCGATTCGTGGCATGTAGAGCGGACATCGCTGAGGACACGGCTGGCGTTGATGTCAGCGAAATCTTGCGCACGAAGGAAAAGTGATACACAGCGCGCAAAAATATGTGTGCCTGGAATCCGCAACCAGCGTGCGCGAAATGCATGTGGGCCAGATCATCGGAAGCGGTATTTTGCGCTCAGCGTGGTAATACAACCTTTTGGCATGCAGGAAAAAGTGGAGAGAGGCTGGGTGTCGTGCGCACGGGTGGAAAGTCTGGGTCGCAGAAAGGCTCGGAAGGCGGCGACTAGAGAAGTGGCAGGGGCCTGCGGGCGGAAACCTGGAATTATTTTTGTATAACATATATATATATATAAATACATAAAGAGAGAGAGAGAGAGAGAGATACGCGCAACGCCAGGGGTTTGCCCAGGCGTGAAGAGTATTGTCGTGTATCTTGTTTCTTATATAATATATACATGTGTGACCACTTGTGCGGTATGTCTTAGGGTTGGCGGTTTTAGGGTTGAGGCTTTAGGGTTTAGGATTAGGGTTTATGATTTTGGAGTTAAGGTTTAGGATGTATGTTTCAGGGTCAAGGTCAAGGTTTTAGGGTTGTAGTTCAGGGTTTATACGGTTTGTAGACAAGAGAAAACAGCCGCGGCTGCGCTGTGTGAGGAGGCGGGGGTGTGGGGCGTTGCGGGGCGGGCAAACCCCAGGAATTGGCTGTATGTATATATAGATATAGTATACACTATATTATATAATTACACATGAGGAATAAGTACACACATATGTATATATATATATATATATGTAGACGTACTCATAACTGATATATATATATATATATTATTGGGGGGTAGAAGTGTCCATGCTCATGCTCGCGCCTTTGATTCTTGCGAACAAACGTGGCTAGGCTTGTGCCACGCTGCCGACCGCGAAAGTGGTGCGCAGGTGATTTCAAGCACGACGCGCTTGTGGACTAAGCAAGCTAGGGAATTGTTGTTGGATGTTGTTGTGCGCAGATCCTTCAAGCTACCTCCCACCTACCTTGGAAGCTACCCCATCATTTCGGGGGAAAATCCAAATTTCGGCTTTTTCGCTGGGTCCCTTTGATCCCACCCTGGAAACACGGGTGTTCGGTGCTTTGGCTCCCCAGTTGGACGCATCGATGTTTCAGGTGGAGGAGCGGCTCAAGGATAGTGATAAGCTGCCGGAGCGCCTGCGGCCGAAAATTCTGGCGGCCTGGCCTCACCGCGTTTGTCTTTTTTGTCTTGTTTTTTTCAGATGAAACAACCGCATGTATTGCCCCTAATTACCGTGGCTTTTCTGTTTTTTCTTCTTCTTTTTTCACGTGAAACAAATATGTTTTAGATTTGCCCCTCCCAACAAAGACGTTGACAACTGCGAACTGGACCAGATCTGTTGGGATTCCCGAGTTTCCGGAGGACTTATGTCAAGAAAAGGGGGAACCCTGACGGTACTACCCACTTTGACAAACCTATTGTTTAAACAACCTTCAAACAATCTCCTGCTTCTTTTTCTTACTCTTTGGCTGGCTTACTTGCACATGTTTTTGTTTAAACCCAAAAGACGGAATCGACATTGTTTAATCCCACCTCTTGTGGGTCAGTTTCTTGGAGTGGAGGCCGCGCTGAAGAAGCGCTTCAAGCCCCTTGCCCTTACTCTGAAAGGCGGGGCAGAGGGACTGAATGGCAAACTTGGACGCGGAGATGCCATCGAGAGTTCACACATCTTCCATGTAGAAACTCGCATTTTGGTGCAGGCGTTGTTTTGGGGTAGCTCAAGAGGGTTCTCCTAATTTTTGTTGGGACAATATCCCTCTTTTGAGTCTTGCAGATCATCTTCGGGTGATCTCTCAACAAATGTTGGCGGGTTTGCCCACGGCCAGGCTGCGGCAAAAATCGAGAGGCACAAAGTCTGCCCGCCGCCCGGCAAAGATGAAAAGACGCGCTTTTTCGTGTTCAACCAACCCCAGTTGCCCCACAACCATGGTTAGCTACAAGCGCGCGCCTTCCTGGATCGCCGCTGGCAACCGGTTTTTCCCGTGTCGCCCATGTGCGCAGCCCAGGAAATCGTGCGAAAAACGCACTTTATCAATGTGTTCCACTACCACGATGCTTGGCGCTTCGCCGGTCGGTTTCTCAGACTTCTAGACTTTTCGAGTTTCGAGTTGGATTTCAGACATGGCTGTGGTTCCTTTCTTGGAGTTGGGTGAAACAGTCCAGAGGAAGGCTTAAGCTTTTGGAGAACGAGCCAAGGATGGACACAACAAAGAGCTCCGCCGACTGCACAAAAATGTGCCCCTTCAAAGCAAAGTGGCCGTCGCTGCCATCGCCTACTTCACGGGCGATCGTACCTTCGTGGCTCGGGTGATGTGAGTGGGAAAGATGTGAAGAAAAGCAATGGTTGCCCAGGTAGGGTATGAGGGTCCTCGAGGGTCCTGGTCCTTTCTTCCTTTTCAGAAAGAAGGTTCCTTCTTGCCCAAACCCAGGATTCCAATGGCGTAAACCTTCCTTTCATGGGTTTGGGGCCCCTGGTTGCGGGGTGCGAAGCAGGTTCTGGCTCGTTCGAAGAAATCTCCGGTGGAGGTTGCGCGCCTGGTGCGTCTCGCGGGGGACGCCGCAGTCAGTGGCACGGTTGCCCCGCACTGCAACCTGCTGGCGTTCGCGAGACATGCGGTGCTGGAGCATTTGCACGATCTGAGCTACGAGGAGCCGAAGTTGGGAATCTGGTGTTGCCAGTGCTTTCGGTTGCCACTAGAACGGGGTACCTAGGGCTGCCATACAAGCGAACGGAAATTTGGGTAGTTCCTTCTTTGGTAGGGGCCATAGATCTGCCGAAGGATTGAAGGTGGGACCATGCATGCGAGTGCACTGCAGGGCGAGGGAGTGTTCCCCAGTCTCTTCCATCGCCGGCGTCTAAGCGGCATTTCAGTCGTACAATATCGAGGTTTCCGGCGGGGGGGGGGGTTTTCGAGGTGTTCCCTGGCACTGAAAACATAGCTTCACCAATAAGCATTACTCATCTGTGAATAAGCTAAGTATGGTTCCTTACATGTGTATTGCCAACGCTTTCTTTGTGAATGGGGGCCAGTACTCAAAGGACCCTGTTGTTTTTCCCCCTGAAACCAAGTCAAGCTAGAGGCCAAGCGAATTGGTGGTTAAGCATGATTGTTAAGCCACGAACCCCCAAAACGTGATTCACAGGTTGGAAAAGGGTTCCGTGCCATCAAGTCCAGGCCTCCAAAATCTGGTGAAAGCGCCTTCTTTTTCGGCTTCCCCTGTGATCCTTAGGTATTGGGCCGTGATGTGTTGGCTTTCATGTCCGATTGGTGAATCGGTATGACTCTATGACATTCGCCCACGTGGTTGCTTTCTAGCTTCTTTGGTCCTGATAACTTATTTATTACGTGTTCCTCCAACAGTCGAGCCTGAACAGTTTGGCTTCCCTTTAAATCAGGCTTGTTTCCCGCATGGGACGAATCTCCCGAGCGCTTCACTCCTCGCCGCTTTTCCAGAGCGCGGATTAACCAAGGTTCCGCCCATGCCTCCTATGGGACAATCGCTGGCCGCTTGGCCGTTCGGGCCCGAAATTTGAAAAGTGGCAAGGCATTGGGTTTTCTCAAAACTTCTTTTGTTGGGTCCCGGCGTATTCCCGTTCAACCGTTTTAACCACTAAGGATATTGTGGGGATGTTATTTTTTTGCACCCCGCCTGGAAAGAGACGAGGGCCCAGCGCGGAAGCCAGGGATTCGCCGTGCAGGTCCCGGACGCTTTGGTGGATGTCATAAACTGCAGGGATGGTTGGAACCACCAACCATTGATGCCTGGAAGTTTCTTCATGATAGGAGACAGAGAGAGTCACCCACATGTTTGATGTCCACCCACAAAAGAGGGGGGTCAGGTGTTTCCTGAGAATGAAATCGCCGGAAATTGAGGCGGCGCATCATGTCCTATGGTCTGGAGGGAATGTCTTTGCAGGAGGTGAAGCAGGAGGGGTCCATTTGATGTAATCCATGGTTGACAGCTCGCCTTGGGGGTGGCAGGGCTGGTCATGAGCCCTTTTACTATTGTTTTTAGGCAACAATTGTAAGGTAGTTTCCCTTATGAGGGAGCCATGACAAGGAGTTTTGACCATGGCACACTTGGACATCAGTCACAATCAAAACCTGGGCCGCTGTTTATTTACATGGGATTTCTGTCCGCCAACCATTTTTGAGAGCTTCCTCAAGCCATGTGTTCCACGTATCCAGTTCAAGACTCCAAAGTGTAAGTCCATGTACATTCAAGTGAGGAACCAAATTCTCCAAAACGCTTGCGTTTGAGACCAACCAAACGGGGGCGGGTGTTTCCCGTCGCGAACCAACGTTTGGGTTCCTAATGATAGAAACCCGTGTAAGGCAAATTATTGGTGTGTTGTTTGTCATCGGCAAGCCGGCTGTTTAGGGTTTCCCAAGTTGGAGACAGACCCAGACGAATGTCGACACGACGGGGGATGCGTGACTTTCTGGGCAATCTTCAGATTAATTGAATCTGAGCCTTTAAACCAAGCCTATGAGGTTCGCTGAATATTCCAGCTGGCTATGGTGAAATTTTGGGAGGGGCCCGGCGACTCACTAGATTTTCCACAAATAGGGAACTGGCTGTGGCTCAAAAATAGGTACCCAAACTGGAACCCTGGTAAATGCAAACATGGACTAAACCTGCAGTCTCTTGGTGAATTAATTTTGACCCATACCCAACTGGCTAATTTCCCATGTCTGAGGGACCATGGCGAATATATATACACCTTCCTTAATTTCGGAGAGGCATTTGCCACTGTTTGGGATGGTCTGAAGCAACACCCAAAGCCTTTTGCGAAACACCTGAGATTCTCGTGTTTTTTAACGGAGAAGCTCGTGTGTTAATAGTGGCTTTTCCTTTCCGTTAAACAAGCCAAAATGAACCTACCCCATTTGTGTGCTTCCCATGTTGCGCGTTTGGATGGTACTTGTTTTTGGAGGGAAACCACCTGGAACCTCAAACCTGTAAACAAGTGGAAGTTCTCAAGCATTCCGAGTTCGTTGTTTTTTTTCAGATCCGTCCGCAGTCTTGGATTCGAGGAGTTGCTCAACTTGGCCCTCAAGTGTATCCAGACCTACGCCCTGCCAGTGGCATGTCAGAAGGCTGGAACATGTGGACCAAAAACCACGGACTCGTTTCGGCGCTATCTAGGCTACGTCAAAAGACCCCTCCCATTTCCAACAACCACAACAATGGTAGCATCAAACAAGTGCATTTGTTGTTTGTTCGTTCATGTCTAGGTGGACGTTGTTCTTGCTTCTGTGGCATCGCCATCGGTGAACCCCAATATGGCTGGATGCCTGCGTATACTTCTTCCGCGGCCATATCATGGTTTTGCCGGATGAATTCTGGCAAGCTCGCCTTGGGGTAACACGAGCGTTCCATGACAGCTGGATATATAGTGAGCCGCCTCAGAAGTTTGTTGGTGGACATAAATGATTTTTGCCAATGGTCCCGAATTAACGTGCCCGAATGTCCCCTTCTCATGGATCCCTGAAGGCAGGTTGGTGAAATAAGGTTCCTGTTCAGAATGGCTGGGAACCCTTTGGTCAAGCTCCGGGAATTATCCCCAAACAACAGACTAGGTTGGGTTTCCCTTCCCCCCCCCCCAAACAAAAAAAAAGCAGAAAAAGAAGAGGCAATGTTGACCCCGGATGAACAAACCTGTGCTTTAATGGGGGGTGTTCCATGGTGTTCCCTTCCCTCACCACCCTATTGATAAACCAGGGGGTTATTTATCCGGGATTGAAATTCTCAAAGAACACCTTGAGGTGGTATCCCCATTTTAGCTCACAGGGAATGCAGACTCTCAATCGAAACCGTGACGGTTTTTCTCTATTGCCCAAGAGGGCGGATTCCATACAGCCATGGTCGAAACTCCTAATGGTCATGGTCTCCGGTCTCGCCATCTGTTCGAGCTGAAACATGAAGGCAGGAAGCTAGTCCTCAGAGAGATGACGAGCTCAATCAAAGAAACGATGAATCCTAGAAGCAATAAAGTCAGCTGAAAGCAGTGGAGAGGTCTGAACGAAGCACTTGGCTTGCTGCAAAGCAAGAGTGAGTCGCTGGCGCTTGCCGCACGAGTATCGGCATTGCAAGGCAAAAGGGACAGCAACGTCCTAAGACGTAGCCCAAGCTCCCACGTGGGCATGGTCATGGCTGCCATGAAAGGAAGCCAACAAACATCGCACACACGGAACACATGGAACCTTCAAAAGGATTGCTTTGCGGTTGCATGGGACCCGTTCCCACGAGCTGATTCTACTCGCTTCGAGACCGCGCGCAGGACATTTGCGATGCCAGGAGCTACCGAAGCTTGGCCTGTTCAAAGGAAGTTCGCCAGTGTCTTCCCTAAGGGCTTGGTCAAATTTTAGGCTTTGGCCCGGCCTCCGTGTCATTGAGCCCAGTGGCCCACCCCGCCCCGCGCTGTGGTGGGGTTGTGGTGGCTTAGGCTTGGTTTAGGGTTGGTCTAGGGGGGTTGTGGCGGTTTAGGGTTCGTGAAGGTTGGTGCAGGGGTGGGGTACGTTGGTGGTTTAGAGTGTGGTTAGTGTTCGTTGGGTTGGTTCAGCTTGGCTTGTCTCGGCGCGGGGCGTGCCGGGGAGGGGACCGGAGTAGATGGGGTCTGGGGGGCGGGGGGGGGAACTGTTGGGGGGGGGGGGGGGGGAGTCTGGGAGCCCGGAGCCCGGGACAATATATTAGTGGTTCCCCACTAGCAAACGGTTTGTACCTTTTCGCAGGCCGCACCCCTCTTTTTATTGCATTGCTCAATCTCAATCCTTCCTCGTGCCAGATGGTGGCTTCCTTATGTCCGAGATTGCGGATTTGAGACAAGGATTGGATATTCCCTCGGTTTTTGAGTTTGGGCAAGCCAGTTCTGGAACATATAGTTATTTTTTGCAAAACGCGGCACCTCGTGTTTTGCGAGTTGTGGCTGCAAGGAAAGCTGTATACCGTGATTTCCCGCTACATGCACAAGGGCTCCTCTGAGAAGGTGCGGAGAAGTTGGGCGAGTAGTGGGGCTGTGAGACAAAACGCCGGTTCATTCAATATGTCCGTAGACTTGGGTGTTTGCAACATGGCTGTCCAGAGGCTTTTGAAACACACTGAAATGGTACCCAGATGGCCAAGTTGCAACACACTTCACCCTCCCGAGGTTGATGGGACAAATCCATCCACTGGCGATCCAGGTAGACCAGAAGACAACACCCCCTGCGTGCCCTTCTGGATTCTATGGATATCAGCTCTTGCTTGCGTTCGCGTGAACCTTTACATGGGGCAGGTACGGAGCCTTTGCCTTTAGTTTCCCCTTTGCACTGTCAAAAGGTGATGATTTACAGCTAGGGTGCGCCTTGTAAGGGTACTATTTTTGACCAAGTTTGAAAGGGAGGCCACAACAGAAGACCCCAGGAAACTTGAAAATCCTGGGAGGACGGGCTGTCCCATAGATCCTGGCAAGTTCCCAGTCACTCGCGATTTCCCTTTTGATTTTATTTGAAAGTGCGATTCCCCTGGTTACGACACAGATGGAATCACTGTGCCGTCGGTTGTGCCGTTTTGAGGCCAGCCTCTCGCGTGAGCCTCTTTGACACCAACGCGAATGTGGGATTTGGCCTTCCACACCACGTATATGTCTTGCTTTGTATCTCCCATTTGCATACAGCAAGCTCGCAACACCCTATGCCACTCTCATTTACAAACATCGTTTGTTGGGCTTGCACTCCAGGATAACTCGGAATTGGGAATCCTTCTTGCAAACTTGCCCAGGAAGCAGCCAGCCTGTTTGCAGATTGGATCCGTTTGGCCCAGCCATTTTCCCGTTTCAGATTGGCTCCCGAAACTCACCCTGCGCCAGGGCTTCCACTCAAAGAACCTCGCGAACTCGCTGGAGCCCTTCTTCTTCAAGGCGCTTTTCTGGGCGGGCCCAATCTTAACAGAATTCGGGGCTCCTCCTTTTTCAGCGCCATGTTCAGTGTCTTTCGGGGTACGGACCTGGGGTTGGTGGATCCCAGTTGCCCCTTTTCTCAATTCAACCAACCAAAAAAAGGATGCCCTTTTTTCCCCATGTTTACAGGGCATCTGAGAAAATACACCTGCGATTGAAAAATGGCCGAATTTGGTTAGCAACGTCGCGTCACTCTGCTCGCAGGGCCCGAGAGCCGCTAGCTTTCGCGGCCTCGAAACGCTGCTTCAGGCCGCCTGGTACGAGACCAAGGAGAGTGTCTGCAACGGACTCGGGCCTGGCTTCCGGCAGTTTGCCCACATCAGGCGGGGGGTGCTTGTTTGTTTGTTTTCGCTCTGTGGAGATCCCTAATGTTGGACCTTGTTTACTATATTGCCCCCCTCCCCCCCCCAAAAAAAAAGAAACAGTCAAAGCAGTGCTTGGGGGTCCTGAATAAATGTCTGGCAGGTGGCAGGGAGCTTGGATAACTTAAGAGTTGCTTTAGTATTGCCAGTACCTAGTTTAGGATTGCGAGACTTCCTGTTGGATTGCCAGAACACAGTTTCGCCAAGGGAAGCCCCTCCCCTTCTTTTGCTTTATCCCAGGCAAGCCACTACAGTAGGTACTCCAAAATCCGTTTGGTTTTGAAAGTGTGGTTCCCTTGTTTCCTATACAGGAAAATGGAATCGCTGGGGAGACTTCTCGTCCCAATCCAAGAGGCAGTCTCTCTCTCTCTCTCTCTCTCTCTCTCTCGCATGTTTGAAAACACAAGCTGACTCTTGCTCAACAGCACGCGCAGGGCGTAGGAACGCGCAAACGGGAAAATAACATGGCAAACGGGTTTTGCAACAGAAACATGTTATAGGCGGAAGAAGAAGTCAGACACGAAAGATGAACTTGGTCAAGGACTATCTCGTGAATCAAAGGATGTTTGGAAGGAACTTCCGTGTGACGCACAACAATTGAAATGTAGCTAGAAGCGAAGAAAGCATGTACGGATGAGCGGGCGTAGAAATGGCGAAAACGAGCACCATCCTGCGGGTTTTTGCTTGTCCGGCTGGCTTAAAGCTATCGGAACGTCTCTCAAAACCGGCCCGGCGTGGGGCGCAACGGCCCAGTGTCACAGGCACCCATTTTCACGACGATCACTTTGCGTGCCAGGCAGAGCTTCGGCAATCTGAGGTACAGATTTCGTGACATGCACCACTTTCGCAAGGGTCGGTGCAGATCTATGTTCGCTCGGTCAGGCGCTTTCGGAAGGCCAGGTGCTCTCTTGCTCTTTCTTATTTCCTATGTATTATTTTGCGGTCTTCGTGCTTCTTTCTTGTTTCGTCTCAAATGTTTATGTTTCTTTTCTTTACACCCTAAGGCTCCAAACACACTTCGGGGCGTGGCCTTTGTTCCGGGGCGTGGCTTATGCAAAGCTGAGGGCCCAACCATGGGATTCAACACGTTCCAGCGCCCTAGGCCCCCGCCTTTGCCCGAGAAGCAACCTGTTTTATCGCTGCTTCCCCTTGCAGTGCAAAAAAAGCTTAACTTTGTACCGCTGTAACACACGAAGTGTCACATTTGAGCGATGGCATAACCGCGCGATCCGGCTTACAAGCCCGACAAAGCTTTCGGCGCAAAGCAACGTATAAAAATTTGGATTAATCCGTTGCGATCGAGTATCCTCAATGCAATGCAACAAATGATGGTGCTTTGGCAGCAGGGGCCATAGACAGCGGTTCAATGCCTTTCCAGTTGTTCTTTCGGAAAGCGATCGAAGCCTTGAGTAGGAAAGCAAATGTAACTGCCCGGCATCATAAATGGCGTCTGCATCGCTTTGCGAAAGCATCGTGCCACATGTGTCAAGAAGCCTCAAAAATTCGGCGTAGGTCCACGCTGCGGTCGCAACTAGTTGGTCAAGCTCTGTGGCCTCAGGCCGCTGAGCTCGCAGGCAACAAACTTTGCTTAGCCAAAATGTCACCGATTTACTTGCGACTGCTTTGCAGGATAGCGAAGGGTACTCCGCCCGCGTCTTTCTGTGCAAGCGAGCTGCTGTGAATCGCGCGTGTGTTGCGTTCAAGCCGCTATCTTTTTTCCACTCTTTGAACCTGCAGAAGGCAACTTGCAGCCGGCCCTCCAGCAGAAACGGGTACCGACCCCCATGAGGCCAAGCTCCAAACTCGCCAGCTTCCGCCAAGTAGACCAAAAGGCTTCCTGATCGCGAACGAAAATGAAATTGAGAAAGAGCGAACGTATCAACGCGGGGTTGTTTTAAGATTTGGACCAACTACGCCACAAACGCGGAAGTTAGGGGGTATATGGCCAAGGCTCCATGTAGCACTTTTGATGTCCCCAGCAGTTGGCTGTGGGCCGTGTCGTGCAAGAAACGCCGGATGTGACACCCTGGGATGCGGAAGCAGATTGATCCTCGGCTGGCAGCGCCCTCTCTGTTTATCAAACGCATGCACAAATGGACTATAATCCCAGTCCAGCTTCCATAGTATAACTACTCTTAAGCAAAGGGTCGATCGTCATCATGAGTGATCCTCAAGTATTCAGCATTGCTAACACGTTCTTGTCTGTGCTCTGCCGTCTCGTGCATTGCCCCAATCGGCAATGAAATGTTGTTGTCAATTTTCCGGCAAGGGCACCATGAGCAAAACAGATTGCTTTGAAATGGATGGACCAAATGCTTTTCATGTAAGAACTTGAGATCGCCCTGCACCGAGCTAAACATAAAATCGTACCCAGCCCCTCTCCAAGGATATGAATTGTAAGCCGGGTGATTCGGGTCGCTCATTCTGGTGATTCTGTCAGCAACTACCTCCATGATGTTGTTGTAGGTGTACTTTGAAGCACAGTGCTCGCTGTAGCATGTCAAGAGAAGGTATCGAGACAGCGGCGGGTGTCGAGAACAGAAGTCGGATGAAAAAGCAAGCACCTCTACCGAGCCCACCTCCGTATTTTTGTAGGTACATACTTCATCCCCATAAACACTTATGGGGGCAAGCTTGCTCCAAGGGCGGGAAGAGGCTGGATGTTCACGAAACCAAGTCGATGTAGAATATGTGTGCGCCCAAAAAAACTCGAGCATCCACGCCCCCAAAAAAAAACCACCTGAAGAGCTCCTCTCCCTGCCGCCATATGGCTGTTGCCATGGCGTCTGGCAGCAGGACAGGCAGCCTGGTTGGAAAAATGTCGGATCGTTTCGGGTCCCACATGCGAACCTCGATGTACTCGATGTCAACGGGAAAGCTTTGACCCTGCATAACGACATGAAGATCACGTTCTGCGTTGCTCGCGTGTTGCCCTGAGCTGGCTATCCGTGATATCTTTGATATAGGATGTGAGTCAGGAACACGGCCACCAGAATCACGGCACAGTTTGAGGGCCGCTTCTGCCAGCTGTCTGGCCTACATGCATAGGCAACAACGGATCGATTTTTGCTTCCCTTTTGGGTGGCCCTCAAAATGTTTGGTTCGCCGGCCACTTGGTAAAGGTGCCGCTAAAGGGGTTCCTACTTGACGTGGTTGAGAACCATCGTCGGAAGACAACCATCGGGTCTTTCAAAATAAGTAGCTTTACGCCCCTACCACCTTCACAACCTATGTTCCTTACATGGGGCCAACCCCAAAGGACAAACACCATGCGATTTTTTGGCAAAAGACACTCAATCTGGGAAACTGAACTTTATTTATAAGTCAATCGCACCCTGAAAAAGGCTACCTCATCCAATGGGACAAGCTTCAAGCAACCGTATTGTGAATGCATACTCGAACACGTACACCACCGGCCCAAGTGGTTATAAAATCATCAAACACACTAAGTTGGAGCCCAGCCACCTTCAAGGCGCTTGTTTTTCCGGTGACGAAATCATCCATGAGCAAGTCCGATAACTCCTGATCAGCTGCGCCAGGATCCACGGCGCCAAGACGCTGCCTCTTTGAGGCCGGCTCCTGGCGGGCAAAGGGAAAAATGTGTTTCGGGAAGTGTGCCCGTGGGCTGACCTAAACAACACGCGTAACATGTTGTCTGATCAGATAGGCGACCCACCGAAAACTACAGGGGGTCTAAAGCGCCTTACTTCCCAGCTGCGCCCAAAGATTTCTGCAAATTACAGTTATAGGGGCCAACCTCGAAATGACAAATGAGCCCAACATCACCAAGACAACGTGCGGGTTTGTCTCAAAATTCAAAATGGGGGGTGTCCAAAAATTTGAGGTGTTCCTGCATGTGTGGTTGCCCTTGAAACCAGCCCAACAAAAGGGTAAACAAGAACACACCCATGCGTGCGCTAGTTATTGAAATATATTATTGAAAGATATAGCTCGGTCCTCAGTCTGTTGCCAAGCCTCACTTGCAGAGGCATGCTGCGCTGATCGCTGCACGCCTGCGCCAGGCATGACGGGTCCCTGGGCAGGATAACCCTTTAGGCAAATTACAACGAGAACGCATAAAATCAAACTGGTTGTTGTGTTTTGTTTGTTGCCGAGGGGTCCAGAAAACGGGGTCAAGGTTGCAAATGTCGATTCCAAATGTCACAACTTAAACGGGTCCAGGTTCCACATTTCATGATCCATAGGAAAGCGATGGAAGAGGGTCCGGCTTCCAAAATGTCATGACCCCAAAAAAATGGTGGAAGAGGTCCAGGTTCCAATGATGGAAGAGGGTCCAGGTCTCCTTTGGAGGATCCCAAAGGAAAGTTATGGAAAAGGGTCACGCTTCCAATATTTCATCACCCCAAAAATGATGGAAAAGGGTCCAGGTTCCAAACTTCATAATCCCATATTCATAGGCTTGCAAATGATGGAGAACCATAATTTCAAGATCTTATTGGGAAATGATGGAAAAGGGTCACGGTTCTAAACATCATGATCCCATTCAACAAAGATGGAACAGGGTCAAGGTTCCAAGTTTCAGGAAAGTGATGGAAAAGGGTGCATTTCATGAGCCAATGCCAAAGAGAAAAAAGCTCTGACAAAGGTGAGGGTCAATCTTCACATCATGTGAAATATGGTTTTTGAAAAGAGCGACCAACACCTTCCAAGCCAGGCAAGCGGTCAGGAACAATGACACTTTTTTTTTGCATCGATCACGTTTCTTCTCGTGCCAATTGAACCCAGATCCCGGCGCTTTCGCCAGGGTACCCCGGCAGTCTGAAGACTATTCGCAGCATGCTGGCCACAAGTGAGCATAAAGCAGTACATGTTTGCCTAGCTACTTGTGTTACAAGTGGCCTTGCATGCAAACCCCTAAACCCCTAAAGGAAGGAACAGTCAAGATCCTCCAGCGCTGCAATGAGCGGATCAGTCTTCCAAGCCCTCGTCGGCGTCCCCGT